ACGGACAGACCGGGAACAAATAATTTATGGACGCAGACATACCCTCAGATGTGCTACCAGGACCAAAGCCGGTTTCAAAGACATCTCTAGCCAATCACACCAATCGGTGTATGTCGCGATCAAATTCAACCGAAATTGGAACTATGCTGCCTCGAAGTTTCCACTGTGCAGTTGAAGTGCCGAATATAGTGAAGGAATGAATTGCAACCGCGGGTTGGGTGGTAAGTGCAGATTACTAGACAGAGCACATTCTGGTAAGCTTGGCTGCGAAGAATATATATTACAAATAGTCGAAACGAACGCCTGGACAGGTTGGCAGAAGGGTGAACATAGGTGAGTTAACAAAATCACAAAATAAAGGGCTCTCTAACAGCTACGAAGCTAACAGAGGTGATTCCGAGAATAGAAGATAAGTGGGATGGGTCAGCCACGGTTCCTAATCTCGATTTGAGCGCATGTGAATTGAACACGTAAACGACCCCGACATTTTTAATTATTTCAAGCCTTTTGAAACGGCAGATTCCAAAGTTAAAAGCCTCATAATCATTAGTAAGGGTGAAAGGTAAACAACAGATTATAAGGAAAGGCGCCCAAAAGAGCAGTATAAATTCGTAACGGGATCATTGCGCCCCTATCACTCTAAAATATTCCCTCCCGGGAAAAATGTTCAGATCATAATCCAACAAGAAGATATCGGCTTTCCTTGGCAAATCGCAGTCCCAGTGTGGTAGAACACGAATAACCATTACAAAAATAGATTTATTGGATTTCCAGACATGTTGCCAATAGCTTTCGCTGAGATTTCCATCAAAGCAGTTTGAGGTGGCCGGACACCTTGTCAATCAGATCCGCGGGTGCTAAACAATGGGTTGATTATAACCTCAAGGAGAATTACCAGGTCCGATACCGAGAACCGTAGCTGAGCCTGCGGCAATTTGGGTCCGACCAGCGTCATGAATGAGGCAGTTGTTGATGTTTAACTTGTCAGCCGCCTTCTCGCATTCAAGCCTGTTTTTATGGAACTAAAGCTTCAACTTACAATACATCAAGTGACTGAGCCTTCAAGACAATCTTCGGCTGTCCATTCCACTCCCAGCGTTTCAATATTTCAGGACAAATCTTTTCTGCCTGCTTGTAGCAGCCCAGAGTGGCGTGGGAACACTGTTGAATAAACAGGTAGCAAATTACAAACCTGAGCTGCTATTTTTCCCTTCGTCATTCCTAGATCCTGCCTCACTAGTAAAACAAGCTTCGCCTCGCTCTTATTGTAGACATTTGGAATGGATATGCTCTTGGGCATGCCGGTCCGTTTACACATCAACCAACCAATACAAATACCAACTCCAGCGGTGAGGACAGGGAGGAATGTTTGAAAAAAATCCATCTAGAGGGAGAAGAAAGCGCAGATTAGGGCCCTCTACGACAACGTTCGGCACAATATGAGCTCCCTGCTTTCGAGTCTATGTAGATTTCTCCCAGTCCTGTCAGAATACAATGTCTGTTACAATAATCGTAGAGGAGTGAGCAGTGAAAGAAGAATGAAGTTTGAAAGGAAACAAAGGAAAACTGAAAATTAAAAATGATCGGTCATTTATGAGAGAAGAGAAAAAAA